AGCTCATCAGAGACCCCTATTTTGACCCCAGCTGCCCCAGCTAAGGTTCCTCCCTCGCCGTCAGTTGACAGAATCTCTGGTCAGGTGGTGGTGTGGGGTCTTCTACACTGTGCTTTTTGCCTCTGGATAGTAACAACTTATGTAAAATAAATGTGTTCTGCCCCTTAAAAAGTTGTTCACAATAGTAATGTAGCTGGGGGCTTAAAAGTAAACTCTTGATGATCATTATAACTCTATTATTTCATACTATAATCATAAAATTCTGGTCTTGTGCCTTTGTTTTTCACACTGTTAGTAAAGTTTAAAAGACCAGAACTGGTATTTAAAGTATTAATGGTTAAAATAAAATCTGATCTTGATGAAAACTGAATTACTGGTATAACCCAAACAATTCCATTTTTGTTATATATTTGTTTTATCTGGCGTCGTTTGATCTAACTTTCAGCTTAGATTCACTGGTTCAGAAAGCCGGAAGCAAGGAGAGTGTTCTCAGTTTAGCTTGTACTTTGATTTGCTCAAGTGAGTTTAATTAGTGTGATTATATAATGTAAAATACTAGTATCACAAATGCTTTACCGGTAACAACTTTATAAAGGCTTAACTGCCTGGCTTGGTACATAGGAATGCTTGCTTTATTAGTGTGTATTAAATTGTTTCAAATGTCATAGATAATCATTTAGTTAATAGCATTTTGTAACCTCTATACAGAGTTTCCACTTTTGTTTTTAAAGTTTAAATTGGCCTAGCTTTGTTAAGGGGAAGGATGTCCTAAAGGAACTCTGCAGAGTCTTGCGGACTCCACCCCTACTTCACCCCTACGACTCCCAGCAGCACCAGGGAGAGAACTGCGAGGACCCCAGGGCGGAGCTAAGCAGCACTCTGGGACGTCTGGGGATAAATAGGGCAGTATTTGCTCTCTCGCTTGGGAAATGGCTCTAAGACCCCACGAGTCGGGGCTTTCAGTTAGTTTGTTACCAGCACTCCAAGTCAGCCGAGCCGGGAAGATATTCCAGTTATTGTTTCCTTTTCTTTTCCCCTTTTGTAAATAAGCCCATTTTGACCCTTTTGTGTGCACCTGCAGTATAACTGAATTTTAAGCGCGGGTGAGGCCCCACCGACAGGTGGCCCAGTTCACACTGGGGTGCCCTGGAACAGCTTGAATTGGGATACTTTATATGACTAAAAGGAAAACATTCTTTTAAAGAATCGCCTCACCTGTTAACCACATCGTTTTAAGGTCCCCTTTAAGTATGAGTTTTCACATTTGAAAACTTTCATGGTTTATGTTTCTTCATTTTTCTAGAGGGCAGTAGGATGTATCCGTGACTTCATATTATGACTAATATAAAAACCCCATTTTTTCCCTCCATATTAGTTTATTTGTTTTAACACAGTCATTTAAAATTTCACCTGTTTTGAATTTGAATTAGGCTCTTAATAACCCTGATTGCATACACCGGTGTCTCTTGAGGCCTCCTGGTAGCCTGTTTTTTTTTCCTGGTAGTGACCCAGCTGTTAGCATCTTGAACCAGCCTCTTCCTTTTGCTGACTCAGTGTATTGGTTATTGTTCAGAAATTGGTTTCATTTGTAGAGCATGTCAGGCTAAAACACTTAAAATATTGATGTTTTTCCACTGAACTAGTTTTTAATTGCATTTCATGTTTTTGTTGAACTAGAGATTGCAGATGGATATGATTCAAACTTTGTCATTAGTGAAATACTTTATAATTGTGTGTGTAGAATGATCAGTCACAAGTTTGGTACATGGGCTAAGCTGGTAGGGCTTCTTACTCACCATGCCCAGATTCTTACAGTCTTCATCTCTAACTGGCATTTTACAGATATTGTTGAGTCAACCAATGTCAAGGCTTAGCAGGAACACTGGGCTTCACAGAAAATCTGGTTGTGTCTATACCTTACAGACAGAGTAGTCGTAGGGGATTTGGGGGCTCTTTATCAGTATACATTGGTATATTTGCTATTTTTAAAACTTTCAGATTTCCAGCAATATGAATTGGTATACTGTGCATTCCAAAGAGCAAGCCGCATTGCCTGTTAAGGTTTAATCGTGGAAGTGGTAGGCTGCGTTATCTGTAGTCTCCTGCCTGTCATCTTGTGTGCTGCCAGGTCTTCACTGCCCTCCACACGCTTTTAAATTCATTAATTCACTCTCCAGTGGTCCCTTGGCTTTGCATCTGCTATTCTTTCCAGTTTCCTGTGCCATAGTCGAATAAATTACACCTCTGCTTAAAGCCAGTCCTGTGTGCTCCCCACCTACATACGTAGAGTTGAGTCTGTCTAGGGGGAAATACACAGTGATGACCCGTGTAATGCTTGGAATTCCTGACTGCGGAAGTATCGGTGGGCCCCTGGCACTGCTCAGCAGCATGGTCTGTTCCCTGCTCCGCTCACATTCTTCTAGGTGGCTATTACATGTCATCTCTTCTCGAAGCCCCACTGCCCCCTGTTCCAACTTAATGCATTATCTGATTGACCGACTAGATCTATTGTGATAGATTAGAAGACTGGCCAGAGTTTTTCCTTAGTAAAGCTGTTGTATGGTAGATGATTGGTGCTTCTCAAATTTTAATGCGCATGCGAATTACTTGAAGATCTTGTTTTTAAGGATGACTTTACCTTATAGTCCATTGAAAAATACAGAGAAATAAGCCAGAAGGAAAGTGATCTAAGCTGTCTTCCTGACTGGATCCAGTCTTGTACTCGGTCAGTGTATAGTGAAGTAATCCAGACATTTTCTCCTCTCTCCTGTTACCAAAATTACCTCCATACTGAATTTTTATGACCAGAATTAATTTATTTGGAAAATATTTATTGAATGTCTGCTAAGTATAAAACATACTTAATGTTGATAAGAATGTAACAGTGGAGCTTACATTCTAGGAGACAGACAATGATATCAATAATAAACAAGAAATATATTAAGTCGATCATCTCCTATGTCTGGAAATGAACTATGGGAAATAAAAAGCAGAAGAAGTAAGATGGGCTAGAGATATAGGTTAGAATATTAATTTAGTTGGTTTCATTGCGAAGGTTAGATTTAATCTAAGACTTAAGGAGGTGGGTGGGAATGCCACGTAGTGGGTACAGTTCATTCTTAGTGAATGGGCACAGTTGCAAAGGTGTACTGTCCGTCTGCTTGCTTTGTAGGGGTTTATTCTAAGAACAGTTCTGCTTGTTTGAAGACCAATGAAGGCCAGTGGAAGACTGGTTTAAGGATTTAGGTATTCATGAAGGAGATAATAGCTGATGCTTTGAGGCAGTGGGGCAGTTAATCAGACACTAGATGTATCTTGTGAACGGAAGCAGCTGGATTTCCAGAATGAGATATGAGGTAGGACTTACGGATGATTTCATGGTTTTTGACCTGAGCAATTGAAAGGATGTTGGTGCCATCATATGAGGTGGAGAAAGCTATAGCAAAGGTTGACCCGGAGGAGCGGGAGTGGGAGAATCAGTTCATTTTTGAATATGTTTAGAGGTTCTCAGCAGACATCTAGCCTTTCCACGTCTGGAATTTTTGGCTTGATGGCACCTTGGGAGGGCTAAGCCTGACCAGCAGGAGCTTGAAGCAGAAGTGCCTCAGTAGAAGGGTAATGTGGCAGACATTGCCAGTACCAGAGAAAATGCCACCCTCTGGTTTCAGTCTCAATGATGGGAAACTGGGAAAGCCAGGAGAAAGAGCTGATTTCAGGTGGAAGATAGCTCCATTTTAGGTGTACTACCAGTAACTCAACTTGGTAGAAATAGCCTCTGGATAGCCAGATGTTTGTGGCATGAGTCAGAGACCCAAGATGGCAGGAACCCTGGGCTTTTCTATTAGAAAGCTGAGTTGGTGGCTAAAACTACGAAAAAGATAAAAACAAAGAGAAGGTGATTTGGCAGAGATTCTTGGAAAATGACCTCTTTCAGCGTAGAGTCAATAAAATTCATCTGATGTGATTAATGACTTGCTCCTCACAAAACACAGAAACAGTAGCTGATCACCGCTAATGGCTCATAGCTGAGAAAACACCCATTGAATTTGTTATCTAGTATTAAATCAGTTTCCTTCCAAAGAGCAGTTATAGTAGCTATAACCCTGTTATTTCTCTTACTGCCAGTACCCCATATTCTTTAACGACTAACACCTAATAAAAATAGCTTACATTTATTGAAAACCTAGTGTATCTGACACCCTATGCTAAGTGGTATACTGATTCATTTTTAACCAGTGTACTGATGCACCTTATCCTGTACATACGCTTACGTTTCCTGCTTACAACTTGAAGGTCAGAGGGATCAGTTAACTTATCCAAGGTTGCATAGTAATGTGCTAAGGAAATCAAATCAAGGTGGACTGTGTTAAAATCCATACTTCTAATCACTGTATTATGCTCCTTTTCTTTGTAGTCTTACATGTTCCCTAAGAGACCTTATTATTTTTTGATTGACTGGCTCTAGGATTGTGATTATTAAGGGTTATAGGTAGTATATACTGTCAAAAGGCTTATAGTTAGGTAAGGGTAAAGATATCCTTTCAGAATGATGAATAAAATTACTCATCTAGGCTAAGGGGAAAAATAGGGCATACAACAATAATTCATGAGATAAGCGGGATTAGAACCTAGGACCAAGTTTTTAATAAAAAGTTTTGTAAAAGGAGTTTCCATCTAGTCCTTAAAGGATAGGTGTTCTTTTGACTGCTCATGATTGCATATGATTAGGGGTAAAATAAATGGGAAATACCCACATAACAAGATCTGCTGGGGCAAAGGTAAAGGAAAGAGCAAGATAGATTTGGGGGAAAGGTAAGCAGTCCAGGTCAGCTGGTCCATAGAGCATGTCGCTAGGATGGACAGTGACCCAGAGAGGGGCACTGAGGTCAGGCGGCGAGGAGGGGTGGAGAGAGCCCTGAGGCCGCCATAGAACTCTGCAGTGCTCACGGCCTGGGCGAGGATGTAAGTCTACTCAAAGAAACATTTTATTTTATTTCTAGAATGCCAGTTAATGAAGACAGAACGACCAAAGCCAAACACATTTATTATCAGATGTCTTCAGTGGACCACTGTTATAGAGAGAACATTTCATGTAGATACTCCAGAGGAAAGGTAAGTACCTTGTTGTTTCCCCTTTGAGAAAAAGCAGCCATCAGTGTAAAGGTGTATTTGTATCTGATTTCACCATTTATGAATGTATTTTTTAGAAACTATAGTTCCTTAGTTTTTGATATAGTAGAGACTTGGCAGAATACCAAATTAAAACCTTTAAAACTGCTATAAGATAAATTTTTTAAAGAAAAAATAGAAAGCATTTTAAAAGTTAAAATATAAATTAGACATTTTTCATAACCCAACTTTTCTGTTTCTAAATTAAATTTTAAATTTTGAATTAAATGTTTGAAATTCTGAGACTTGATAGCAAAAGATTTTGAGTACAGCTGACTGGAGCATTGTCTTGAGAAGGATTTTTATATCGGATCTGAGCTACCTGTAGAAAAAGAGAGCAGGATTCATTGACATGAAATATCAGGGCCAAAGAGGATCATGGCAACACTTTTCTGACCAACTCACATAAGAGCCAAAGTCTTGTTTTAAGATATATTTATGCATGCAGAACTGGGGTACAGGCCAGAGGTGCTGGGGTGGGGAGAAGATTCCCCAGAGACAGAGCGGGGAGCGGAACAGGCCGACTGAACAAGCACACTGCTGAGGGGAGCAGCGGGCAGGTCTGCTGTGCTCTGTGGTCACCTCCGGGGCAGGCGGGGATCGAACTGGTGTGGAAGCGGCTTTAGATTCTCAGTTGCTGCGCTTTAACCCATCAGGCCACCAGGAAGGGCCAAGAGCCACGTTTTAACCCCTCACCCCTTCACTTCCCATAGCCACCTCCCCACTGCTCTCGAAATTCCTTTTTATCTGGCGCCTGTGATACTAAGTTAGGCCTAGTAGCCACACTATAAAGTCATTCTCTTGTACATGTTACCATATTTGACCCAAATCAGCAACTTAGTAAAGTTGAATATTACATCCTTATTTTTTACTTGGCTAAGATTTAAAAAAAAAAAAAAACAAAAACCCAAAACAGTACCCCCTCCCCACACACGGTATATTAGCAATATCATTTTTATGTATTTTGATAAATAAACAGTAAATGGTAATGGGTGAATACGTTAGGACATATAAAGAAGGAACTCGAAAGTTAATTATAATTCTATTGCCAGAGTTAAGCACTAATACGTCTTTCTAAGACATGCACGATCTGATGCGCGCGAAAGCATTGGGTCTTTGACACACATGCCCAGTCTGAACAGTTTTAGCCTTGTTGGCAGCAACAGGAAATGGAGCTTTTCTTGCTCTTACCGCATCTTTTCAAGTCTTCATTATAATTAAAATTATGTAAAATCTCCAAACACCAGATTCTAGATGAATACAGAAACACATACTCCAATGGCCAATATAAAACTGATTCCTTCTATTCGTGAAAACAAATTAAACTGTTCAAAAACTAATGTGGTATTATTACAGGAGCAGCAAACTTTGTTAAAGTCTTAATATGAAGACCGAGTTTCCGCTCTGTAAATATAATAAACTAATCATGAGTCGATGGGATATCATCAGTCTCCTAAGAGTGTCTCCAAAGCATTCCCTTTGAAAGTAACAAAAGTTTCATTCATTCGTCCAGCCGGCAAACCCTGTGTTAAATCCCGGAATCTATGCCAGCGATAAAATGAGCAAAGTCACGACCCTTTCCAGGAAAAAACCTTTAGTCAACAATTACAGACATTAGTGAGATGCTTGACTGAAAAGATACAAGGAGGTGTGGAAACACAGAGCAGGACGCGTCCCTCTGCTGGAGTCGGAGGTGTGGAAGCAAGAGCAGGACGCGTCCCTCTGCTAGAGTCGGAGGTGTGGAAGCAAGAGCAGGACGCGTCCCTCTGCT